ATGTTGCCCTTGACCTTCAAACTGATAGAATTAGGTATTATCAATACTAGTTTTGCGTTAAGAGTCGGGTGAGCTATAATTTTTATTAATTCGTTCTTACAGGTTACCTATTCTTGGCGAGCGAAATGTATTAATCACTAGCGCATTGCCCTATGTTAAATAATGTATCTCATTTGAGAAATTTATTGGGAGTGTCCTAAGCGCAGACGTGTTTTCCAGGTAAAAGCAAAAGTAATTGTTAATAACTTTTGAATTATCGCAGAACCAATTACTAATTATTGTTCACTACGCACTACGTAAAGATATTCGCGTTCTCATAATTATAATACACTATTCATCTGTTGTACTGACGAATATGGGACTGCCACAGAGACAAAGTTCAAAAAGAAGGAATCTCATGTCAAGAACTTTATAACAAATATCATTCTCTTAATGCAAAAATTTACAAGTGGTTCGATATAGAATTCGATTATTTTGGCCGAACTACAACTTAGCAGCAAGCTGAGTACGTTTTATTTACAATGAATTATTTATATTATAAATATTTAAATATATTCACATGTCTATCTTTCGTTTAACAAATTTTAGTATTTCATAAGATATCCTTTTTAAAATTGTACAAAAATGATTACCTTAGTGAAGATACCGTGGTTCAATTATTCTACGAAAAGTGTCAACGGTAAACTTTTAGATTTTTTTTTTTATAATAATATATGAAAGCTATTTGCGAAGTGAAAAATTCACTGTAGGTTTCTCGCGGATCTTTTCGTTGAAGGGACCTGTCCTAAATGTGGCTATGAGGTATGTGAATAATCTTTATTTGGCTACAGGTACAGGGACATAAACAACTGTTTAATACATTAATTACGACTTCTTAACTTTGTAGTACTTATAAATCCACGATGTAAAACGGATAATAATACACCTATTACAAGAAAATCGAATCACATGTTTTGAAAGACTAGTATTGAGGGTAAATGGACAGCTAATAGAAAAAATATTACTCAATATTGGCTTAAAGAAGGGTTAAAACCTCGTATTACATGTGATCTTAGCTGGGGCCACTCGAATAAATGAAAGGAAAAGTGGTTTATGTTTGGTTTGATGTACCTATCGGGTAAGTCTTATACTGTTATGTTTCCTTGTTCATTATTGGGTACGGACGAAGAATGGACTCTGTTGCATCATATAAGCATGACTGATAAGAATTGACAATTTTTTGATATTCTGAATTTGTTTTTTTTTATAATTATATATATATATATGTGTGTGTTACAACTTAGAATATCTTAATTATGAAAATATGAAGTTTTCCGAATCTCGCAATATTGGATACTGGAATACCTGTTTCTGTCTAGAGATATTATTTGATTTCAAGCCGTCCTGAAACAAGTAATTCTATATTCACTTGAAAAAAATTTATTACCAGGAATAATACTGAATTGTTGGTCAATCTTGGAAATTTTGCTAATCGCGTTATGAAATTTGTCCTGCCAAATATGATAGCAATATCCTATCTTGTGATTCCGAATCAGAACAAACATTTATAAAGAACATCAATAATTTGTTGACAAATTATATCGAAGCACTAGGAAATATAAAATTATGTGCAGGTCTTGAAATAGCTATGGAGATTTCACGACAGGGTAATGGTTATCTGCAGGAATCAAAACTCGATAATACTTTCTTGAGAAATGCGCTTCGGTCATTGGAGTCTCGAATCTCCTTCTCGATAAATTTGATTTATCTCCTTTCCGCCGTATTTAGTCTATATATGCCATCCGTCACTGAGTCAATTAAGTGTACCACTGAGGAATATTCCTGATACGTTTACAATGGATATTGAAGCTGACTACCAAATCGGCAAAGCCGAATATCTTTTCAAGAGGATTGATGAAAAAATGACAGAAGAACTTAGTAAAAAATTTGCTGGTGAATCTAGGGACGACAAAAAAAGGCTCCATTTTTCTGAAATACCATTTCACCGAAGTCGTTTCACCATAAATCAATTAACCGATAAATTTATTTTATTGCCAATTATTTCATTTCACCGACAAGTTTTTTTAAAATTGCATTAACCTTAACTTTAATTCTAAACCTGACCCTAACGACGATGATCAGAATTACTTTGTCGGTGAAATGACTGTTGGTTAAATAAACTGTCAGTGAAATAAACTTGTCGGTTAATTGATATTCGGTGAAATGACACTGACCTATTTCTGTCCTGTTAGTAAAATGGATTGTCGGTATTACGACTGGTATGTCAGAAAAATGGGCTTCGGGAAAGTGAGCAACAACCCAAAAAAACACAAAAGCGTCTAAGACTGCTAATAATGTAATAACAACTGAAGTTCTAAAAGCTGATTAATTTAAATATATTCGGAGTTTTTCTGTATAAAGAAATTTTTAATATTTATAATATTTTTAATAAAGTATTATTCGATAATTATAATATCTAGAGATATGATTTGTTATGTTCCGATGGCCGTAACTTGAGATATGAACGATATGTTAAAAAGTTTTAACTTACGTATGCCGTAGCAATTTGCATGTTTGACACATGTGCCGTAACACTTGATGACTTGTGTCGTAACATTTAGCACATAACACTTGAATTATATATACGTCTATAAGCACTATTTTCTTATGCTGACAATGAAGTGCAAGATGGGACTTTAAAATATAATAGTCTGGCAATCGAACCTCTAATACTTTCGCTATGCTACTTGTCCAGTACATTGTCAAATGAATATATAACTGAACTGTGTTTTAAAAATTAGGTTTATTGTTAATTGGAACAATTTGTTCAGTTTTAACGATAGTGAACCCAATTGAACGAATCAGAATTGCGTTTGATGTTTCGTGGATATTTTTTTACAATTAAAGCTATTTTTCGTGATTTTACGATAATTGCTTAATAAACGATGATTCCGATTTATTAATTGAAATTTTTCATTTATTTTTAAACGTTTATAAATTTTTGACGAATTATGTTTTACACTTTTTACACCTTTTATTGAACGATTACGTATAGATTTATTAAAATACATGAATTTACTATTTTTATTAAGAAAAATCAATCGATATTAACAAAGATAACTACAATTTTTTTTTTAAAAAAAATTTTTTATGTAAACATTGTAATCCTGACTAAACTTAATTTGAATTCTTCGGTCTTGTGAATTTCGTTGTCTTGCGTAATATGACCTATATACCGGTATAAAAAAAAAAAAAGTGAATAAAATTGCATAATAATTGAAAAACCAAACAAGGACGTTCACAGTAACTGTGGCCACGAAGTTACTGTGGCCGCGAAGA